AGTGACTCATCTGTGCGAACCATATTCACCGACCCCGGTACCATTTCGGCGAAATTATTTTTCGCGCCGGAAATAAAAATTGAAATATCTAAAGTTTAAAACACAAATTGGACCGATAGCGAACTACAACAGAGCAGGCCCCCACTCCCACCACCTCACAGCTGCACCAGCTCCCGACAGTTAAGGCCCAACTAGATGAGACGCCAAACAACACGACGGCACCACATTGCGAGACGTAACTTAGACCACCACCGCGAGCTGGCCGCCGACCCGCCGGAAATTCTGTCGGAAATGAGCTGTTTTCCTGTAGTGTAGTGAATAAACAAGTTTTTTTACTAGCAGATCATGTCAAGAATAGTTATAATTATAGCACTACATTACTACTAGCAATTGAGTGTTCTAGCATCCATGTGGCACTCTCCTTGGCTTAGTGGTGCTAAAAATTTGTGTCACAACATTGGCCGGAAATTCTGTCGGAAATGAGCTGTTTTCCTGTAGTGTAGTGAATAAACAAGTTTTTTTACTAGCAGATCATGTCAAGAATAGTTATAATTATAGCACTACATTACTACTAGCAATTGAGTGTTCTAGCATCCATGTGGCACTCTCCTTGGCTTAGTGGTGCTAAAAATTTGTGTCACAACACTGTGTATACACAAACACTAGGCTTTACCACACTAACCCTTTTGATGCTGCAGTTCTATTAAATAGAGAATATGCACCACCATGTCCATATTGGGTGATCCGGCGGTGTCAATGATGTCACCTCGATTTTGTAGTGTATGACGCCCCAATGTTGTGCCGTATTTCAAATTTTTGCACATTTCTTGCATTTTTGTGCACAAACACAACTAAAAAAAAATACCTGTCAATTTAATATATAAAATATAACATTATTTACAATAATTAATAACCAGTATAGTTCTATCATGTTGAGAATTTAGCTTTAAGCGAACTTTATATTGTTACAAGAATTTGGAAATTGGCACCATGATTGAGGCAAGTTGAACTCAAAGATATCATTATAAAAAAATGAGATATTTGAGGAGAAAGATGAGATCTTTGAGGTGTGGCATTAAAGAAGAAGAAGAAGAACAACAACAACAAGAAGAATGATCATGAACTTTTAAAATTAAATATAATTAAAAGCAAAGTTAGCAAATATTATACATTGGGTCATGCATAGGATCTGGCTGACCACCTTCGAGTGAAGTTAAAGACCAAGCTTCCCCTTCTCATTGAAGAATTGGATTTCTTTATATTTTAATTGAGTTGATACTTCCATCAAGGATGGCAACTATTTGGTAGCATTTTTAGCTATGCAACAAAATAATTAACCTTTACACATTATACATAAATAATAATGCTTTTTATAAATTTTCAAATGAAATACTAAAATTATTGTCTGGTATTTTCTTTCTCTAATCTTGAATGAGGTTATAAGAAACTAATTTTCTTCCAAATGTAGTTGTAGGAATCATAAGAACAAGAGAAAATAAATAAATATAGAAACAAATAAAAGGAAAACATTATTCACTATTGCCTTAATTATCCTAATGATTATTTCATCTTTGATAATCCCTTTAAGAATCTGCGTGTGGCATATCATCTAGACTTTTAAATATTTATGGAACAAAAAAATTTCATTCTAATGCAAATATCTATATTGCACTAAACTAACACTACTAATAAATCAAATTTTTGAAACACTTTGTTTCAACTATTACAGTGGTTTAAAAATTAATAAATGTAATTACAATGATTTTCTAATAGATGCAAATATGATGTATTTATATTCACTGTGAAAGGCTTTAGAAAAAATTTTAATATACAAAAGAAAGTTTTTAGATTCATAGAGTTTTAATAAAGGCTAAAAATTCATTGCAAAACTTCATTAGCTGGATCAAATGCAATACACATATAAGAAAGACACGTCGTCAGTTATAGATATAAGATGAGCACATATGATTAAATACACATATTAAGTCTACGCAAAATATTGGAAAATTTGTTGAAGTATTGTTTTTAAAATTGGTGTCTAAGAAGACCTTTGGTCTAGAAATTAAGAAGTACGTTACTTGAGCCAAAGTACTTTGGCAGATCTATTGAATGGAGTCATGTGACATGCATGAACCTTAAAAGATTTCATTTAGTTTAAATAGGATTTAGTGCACCTTATATTATGCATGCATTCATGGTGAATGAAAATAATTATATGTTTCATTGATAGTTATTTTTTCTTTTTTTTGATTTAATGAAATTTTTTTAAATGATTATTAGAATGATTCAATGTTATCTAAATGTTGGAACATGTTTCTAATATTTATAGTAAAATTTTATTAGTAAATATATCATAATTATTAAGAATAATTTTATTCATTGTAGATTTCTACATTTGTCCCTTTTATTACCTATATATATGTACACTTTTATCAACATATCATTCAATTGAATAAAGAAAAATGCTATTATAGGTTTTTTGGCATGATAACATAACTCCAAGGTTTAGAGGAAGTTCAATATCCTCATGGCTCTTTATAGATCATCTTCTTACCACGATTATCTTTGTTCTATAGATTTTATGGCTTTTCGACATCGCTCTCAATCATTTTAGTCCCAAAACTTATATCTTGGTCGCTTCACTATGCATGCACTTTCTAGTTTTGTACTTTATCATCCTAAAGGAATTATTGTATAACTTAGATGAGTATTTTCTCTCCTCTATTTTTAATTTTTGTTCAATTTTAGCATTTTCATCTAACATTTTGTTGAGGTAAGCATTTGTTAGTACAATATATAATTATATTAATTATTATTATCATTATTACTATTAATAAATTATATATATATATATATATATATATATATTATATATACCATCGTTGTATTCATTCAA